ATTCTACACCTGATAACAATGACAAGGAATCATCAGAGTCACTCTCTTCACTACTGTCTGCACCAACAGATATAATAAATTTTTCAAGTTCGTTTTCAACAATGCCATCTTTTAATTTGTAATCATTTTCGACATTTAAAACATGATCAGTGTATTTCTTCCAGTCACTAGGGGTAATTAAGTTAAAACACTCTATTATTAAGTTTTCCATTTCCTTTCCTGGTATTCCAATGTTTCTGCTTGCAATTTTTCTTTTTGCTTGACTCCAAACCATCTCTATTGGGTTTAAGTCACAATGATACGGTGGCAGCAATAAAAGTTCATGATTATGTTCTTTTAAAATCTCTTCAGCTTCATATACAGGCAATGTTTTCTTATCATTAACCAAACACATTAACTCTGCCTTTGTCTGATATTCCTCAAAATGTATTCCATTATTTACAAGCCATTTACGGATATCTGCTTTGGTATTAGACATTATAGGCGGTTTATTGATTTGTTTTATATGGTAGCTGGCATTATCCATAACAATTACACTGGGCTTACTTAAATTTGGTATTAATTTTTCTCTGACCCATTTCATAAAGTTCGATGAGTTCATATCATCATGATAATCAGCAGATTTGGATTTACTACTGTACACTAATAATGCACCAGGCACAAAACCTTCCTCAGATCCAGCATGCACAACAATATGCCGTTTTCCAGAGGATATCTTTGTAGTGACACCAGTTGTTGAAGGTCCTTGCCAAGACTTTTTAACTTTATAATTCTGATGTACATAAGTTTCATCAAGGTACACAATTTGCTTTCCTTCGTTTCGTTTTATATTTATTTCTCTCAAATACTTGTGCCTCCATGCAGAAATCTGGTATTTTTCTATAAGCATAGAACGTTCATTTTCATTGCTTTTAAAAGAAAATCCATTCTTAAGCATAATTTTTCGTAAAGTCTCACGGCTACCACTGAATCCTATTGCATCTTTTAATTCATTGTGAAGGCTTCTTAATGTTGGAACAATTTTTTTCACACAGTAAAATTCATTTACTTTATTCCGAATTGCACTTAAATCAAAATTATCTAAAGCAGACACTGTTGGTTGATGAGGTCGTTTTTTCCCAGGAGTGTCCCATTTTCCTTTATTAATTAATGCTTCATTTTTTATCCTTCTTAGTGTCCTTATACTTACATCTATAAAAGATTAAACACTTTGAAACAAAGATATGTTAAATGTATTTAAAAGCAAATAATGATAGACACATACATCAAAATAATTTAAATACCTATTCAACTATGAATGCAATTTATGTTTAATTTAGTTAAGTTTATGTGCATATTTAGCATGTATAACAATTACATGGTTTGATTAGTTTCATGAATTCTGTGAATTTCCTTGTTAAACAAAACATTCTTATGACATCATTGGATGTCAACAATAAAAACCAATACATCATAAAAAACCTATGTAAATATTATAGGAATACTATCAATCTATCTTAAATCAAAACAAGAAAAGAGACCTGTCATTGAAGAAATTTTTTGTAAGTACTGCGTTTCCGAATTCAGCATTTCTTGTTTTTCTAAAGTTTTTATTGCATTTATCTCCTCCATTATTGGTTGAATATCACCATCACAGTTATCTGAAATAGAGCAATATTTTATAAAAAATATCTGTTTAGTTAATTACAGAAAATTAAAACGAAAGTATCAAAATTATAATACAAAACTAACCTAAAAAAGATACAACTTTATCTAATCGTTGTAATTTCTCCATGAAATTTTTATTTAATTCAGTTTTCACTTCAGTAAACTTGTCAATCATGATGGAAAGAAGTTTCCTCGATGAACTTTTTATCGGCTTCGACATAATTTTTAACCAAAAACACAAGTTCAAATTCGCAAAAACAACAAAATTCAATATTCTTGAATTGTCTAACGTAGTGTCAAACTGACAGTTCTATGTTGTTGCCATATGAAAACGGAAAAATAGGTGGTGTCACGTTTCGCTTGCCAAACTCTATATCGGCTTTCCAACTGGTTGTTGCATCAGTAGGCTTGAGTAAAAGTATGCTGTGTGTGCTTGAGGTTGTACTATAATGACTTGCTTTGCTTCTTTTTGATAAAAAAAAACAACTGTCAATAAAAAAGTGGCTGTCGCCTGTGCATAGAGTAAGGTAGAGTGGAAATATTTTCTATAGTTATATAAATATCATGCAATCTGAAGTTGACATCAAAAACATCATGTTGTCTTTTTTTAACTAATAAGAAGTTTCTTTAGTAAACAAAGATAACACTAGTGTGACAGTTCAAAATTTTTTACGTGACGTCATGAGATATAGTTATCGTACCACCTGTCAGCCATTTGCAAATTTGCTTTGCGTATTCTCGGAAGTAGTTCAGCTGTCAGTGTTATAAGTTTTGTGGTTATTTTCATTTATAACTTTAATTTATATAACTTTCATGGCAGAAAATTGTAAATTATTTATGCAAAACAATGCCTAGGTGCTGTATAATTGGTTGTGCGTCATCAATATCCCGCAAACCGAGCAATATTACGTTTCACCGGTAAGTTAAACACTTTCTTGGAATAACAGTATTTAAAACGTAAGTAAGTTATTCTGAAAATGATTGCGTGTATAAATCGATACATATCGTATTTTGGCGTGTTCTATTTATGCTATATTGCTCTTTTCGTTTATATTTTTATAATATTTCGGTCCGTAAATAATATTGTTTACATGGCTAGTGTCGTTACTTTAACATATGGTTTATATCGATAATTTTAATATTTAAAAATATATTAATTATTTTAGATTACCAAAAGATGAAACAAAAGAGGAAAATGGCCGAGTTACATAGAAGCAGAAAATATTAAATGTAATGAAAAAGTTACTTTTATCTGCTCACTTCATTTTAGGGAAAGTTGTTTGAATCGAACTTTAAATATAATAAAATTACGAGATGATGCATTGCCAATCAAATACTCTGGTAAGAATTTTTGACAATTGCTTTTAACTTATTTAAAAAAAAATGTCTATTACACTTAGTTAATTTTCATTTGATTTTACTGATTTATTTATTTAGTTTTTTATATAGTCATTTTGTTATTCTATAAATGTACCTTATTTTTAGTCTTGCGGTCATATGACGACTATTTTAATTGAAAAAAATCAGAATGCAATATATAATAATATTAAAATATAAAATTCTGATCATAATATACTCCCAGTAAAATATACAATAAAATGAGTTAAATAATTTTAATAAAAATTAAAATATGCACACTTATCAAATTAAAGGCATAGTTAAAGGTTTTCTTTGCTGTTCAATAGTATAATCTTAATACCCAAATAATTATTTTGCGGCGTGGATGTTTATTTTGCTGATGCATCATAAAATACGCTACCTTTTTGAATTTAAATTGCTGACCGTTATCATGATTGTTCACAGAACATGAACTGCAGACTGTTTTAGTGCTGAGAAAATATTTGTATGCTTGATTAATCGGCTGTTTTCTTCTTGCTAACCAAATTTTTTAATAAAATGCCAATTGTTACTTCTTTAATAATGTTACTGTTATGCCAATTGTTACTTATTCATCACCAACTTTGTTTTCTTTATTTTCTCTTGTTTATTCATCAAAGTTTACAGTATTTTTATGTTCTTTTACCAATAATATAATACAAAGATTATGTAGGTGTTTCAAGTTTTCTATGTTTACTACTAAACAAGATGTTCTGAACTAAAATTGTGACACAGTACGCACGGTATCTCACTTAATGAGGAGGAAGCGAAATTTATTCAGTCAAAACAATTTATTGAATAAATTTATAGACAAGTTGGCTTACTAGTTACAAGCATATAAGAAAGTCGAAACTCTGTGCTTATAGTTCAGCAATCTATTACGGGAAACCTTGTACCGAGAAAAGAAGAAACTGTAAGAAAGGAACCGGTAAGAAACTGCAAGGGCTGCTTTTGCACCCTGTTTAATTTCGTACTGAAAAATAAAAAATGACTTCATTGGACCAAAATGTCACTTTCCACCAAAACAATAAAAAATATATAACAGACAAAAAAAAGCATAATAATTCATTCGTCAATCGACTCATTAAAAGCTTATTATAGTTACCGTGGTAGTTATCTTGGACAGTAGTCACACTTCCCGTGGATGCAAAATTAAACTTATGTTAAAAAAACTATTTAATTATAATTGCAAAATGTCAACTTGACAATATATATGGAAATAATTATAAAACACGATTGATATTATTGTAAAACTTTTAAGATATATATTTTGGTACTATAGTTCTTAAAACTATGTAAAATTGGCTATATTAGAGGAAAAAGAAACATATTTATCGAGGTACAATCATATTATAAAATTATATTATTAAATAATATAAATGTGAAAGTTTGTGAGGATGGATGTTGGTTACTCTCATGTAAAAACTACTGAACGGATTTTGATGAAATTTGGAATACGAATAATCTTTTACCCGTGGGAAGCGCCATCATACGCTGGTAACATATGTTATATTTACTATAGTGACGCAACGGAGTCGCAAGAACAAAGAACGCAAGAAATTTTAGATGTCCAACAAAATACGAGCAAAAGATTGCTTAATGATTTATAAATAATTGATAAATTCACGCCACTTTTAAAAAAATATTATTTTCTTGATACTGGCGTGAATTTTTCAATTTAATTAATAATAATCATAAATAGGATTGGTACGTAAGTGTGAAATGAATAGAAGTGTAATAGGTAATAGTTTAGCCATGCCCCTAACAATGAAAATTATATTATATTATTTAATAAGTAGTAGTATTGTAGCAGTTTCACGAAATACTAACTTTTATTTAATATGACTTCAATGTCGATACAAATATCGATATCTTGGGTCACGCCCTATGACAATCCGCCATCGAAGAATTTGCATTTGAAGTTTAGGCATATACGCTTTTTTCGTAGGTATGGCCGGTCCTCTTCTTTTATGTCTATGCGCCTGTGCCACAGGCCTGTGCTCACAGGACGATTTGTTCTTTAATTGAGTGGTTCCAACTTTAGCAATTTATTTGGCGTTGATATCTTTGTTAATATAAAGTATTTTGTTAGTTTAATGCTATAATTAAAATATATTGTAATGGCCAATCACTACGAAGTGCCTAATTGGTAAGACAAAACTTTGTATAATAAACCTGTATCTTTAGTGAAGTCAGCATGTCCATAATTGAATTGAATAATACCTGAAATCTATAGAATATTTATTATTAATTTCAGGGTTTAAGGTTGCTGTGTAGTTTAATAATGCCGCAAACTATATGGCTTTTTCATTACTTGTCCCAAAAAAGAAATAATTACGACCGCTATTTCATTCTGAAGTTTCTTTAACGTGGTAGCATTATATGTCAATTTGATTTCAGGGCCGGTAAACCACCGACAGGGCTGCATTTGGACGTATTGAAAGGAGATAAGTTGATACAAAAACTTATGATAGATGAGAAGAAATGTTATCTTTTTGGGCGTAATCCACAAATGAATGATTTCTGTATTGATCATGCTAGTTGCTCCAGAGTACATGCAGCATTTGTTTATCATAAAGATTTGAATAGAGCATTTTTAGTTGACTTGGGTAGTAGTAAGTATAAGACACAGGTATTTAATTTTGTAATGCTGTATGACAATAATTTTATTTATGCAGATGTTTATCATTGACGTATCAACGCTGGAAAGAAAACATGTAATAACCTGGAAAACCATATTTGCTCTGGCAGAAAAACTTTTTATTAAAAAAAAAAACTGTATTTTATAACTTAGGTTTACTATATTTATTACTATGGATTTTCATAAGATATTTTAAAAGAAAAATGCATTCTTACATATAATTCGATGTCTGCTAGAGAATGAGTTATTGCATTAAGTCCGCAATTTTTGCATTTGTAATTGTGCAATAAAGCATAAATAATCATCAGATCAATTTAGTAATGGTTGGTTGCCTTCATTGAATAAGTAATTTTTATAATAAAGTTATGTATTATATTTTATCAATGTTGCATTCACAACACTGTAATGACATTTTTATTTAAGAATGATTAATTATTAATGTTAGTCTAGTTGTCTTATTTATGCTTGCCTGGAAGAAATCTTTTTCATGATAAGACCACTATGCTGCTGAAACATTTTATAACAGTAAAATGTTAATCTAAATTAACAAATATAGATTATATTTTGTCTATACACTTTTTGACTATACATTAGATTTATATGAAATGTTATTGTAATGTTTGAAACTTGCATAAATGACCATTAAAATTGATATCTGTGTAACTCAGGGAATGTCTCTTAATGATTATTTTAGTGGATATTTGTGCAACTTATAAAAAAATAATTTTTAACACTGTGAAGGGAAGACAATTAATAAATTATAAGTTTCTCGATTGTTCATTACATAATTGGCTTTTAGCACATGGAACCTTCATTGGTAAAATGCGTCTGGAAGCGCACAAACCGACTCAATTGCCAATTGATTCTAATTTTCATTTTGGAGCTTCTACTAGAAATTATATTATAAGGTAAGGTGTTTTAATTAATGTTATATTCAGTGGTCGGAATTAGGTAGAGTTATTCATGTACTTACACTGATTTCATACAGTGAAAGAATAAAGTGGATATGCCTCAAATTGCGAGATTAATTTTAAAGAGCAGAAAAAATCCCGTGATTTTTTAAATAAAAAGTTATTTACTTTTACACAATTTAAACTACTGCACGCACGACGTTGCCAAACTTACATCAATGACATCGGATGTCCAAAGTTGCAAAATACCAATACGCGCGATGTTGCCACGAAGGTCCACATTAATATCAACATTTCGATGCAAGTACATAAATAACTCTACCTAATTCCGACATCTGGTTATATTAGAAGGTGAAATATTAATTTAGTACTTTAATTTATAATGGCAGCAAGCTATGTATATTTATAGGAATAGACTGTACATGCATTGTTGTTGTCCCAAAGAGTGGCAGTTAAATTGTTAAGATGCTTCTGCAATCTTATCTTGTCACATATCTTAACTCCCCTTCTGGAGTGCAACGAAGTGGCCAACTACCGGGCAAAGTATCTCAGCTCGCCTGGTGACCTCTAGGAGGCTATCACAGACGTGAAGGCACTAGGAGCATTTCTGACAGCTGAGATGGCTGGAATAATCCCCAACCACATACCCTCCGTACGTAAAATGGGCGCAATTTTTGACGTCGACTTGCAGAGATGCCCGTAGAAATAAAAGGAACCCCCTTTTAGCAAAAAAAAAAAAAATTGAAAGTTATTAATAATGCAAAATATTTTAAAGGGAACGTCCAACAGGTAATGCCCGAGGCATTATCGAAGATTTGCCTAACACAGAACAAGAAGGAGCATTGCTTGGATTGCCAGAAACACAGACTGAATTGGATGTATGTATTTATCATAATATTATTTTGTTAGTTTTATTTTAGATTTTTTTTTTACTATTTCGTCTCGGGGTCCTTTTTATAAATTTGAGATCCATTTTTTTTTGCTTCCTTACCTTTTTTAATTTTTTGTCTTATTGTTTTCCATTGTTTCTGATATCTGCAATAAAAACGCGATCTATAAAGAAATAATAAAATAAAAAGTAATATCTTTTTATATTTTCAGAATTTAACAGAGTTCAACACTGCTCACAACAGAAGAATATCAATGTTGGGCATATCGACAGACGATGGGACGGATGTAATGAAGGTTTGTGTGTTATATTAAAGAAAAGTTTTGATATCTTTGAACCCTGTTATACATACTTATACAGGTGGATAGTAAAATTAAGCCATTTACCATATACTCTAGCCTTTTTTAATGATTGTGTATGAATTTTTCAATTAAATTATGCTTATTACTTCTGTCTAGGTCTAGATCTTAATGAAAAATGTCTAGGATCTTAATGAAAAATGCTCAATTCACCTGTCTCAGGCACCAGTCCAGTCTAAGGAACTGGTGAATTTTCAAGCATTTATTGTTATTCAATTTTTTTTTGTAGATATTCTATGTTGTGGAGTATCTTTGTACATTTTTATTATTAAAGCTTTCAATTTTCATTTTTACTGTACGCAGCCACCGACAGGCACGAAGCGTTCAGCGTCAATGCCAGGCGGTATACCAAAGAAACAGAAACGGAACGTGTCCTTCAACGAGGAGGTGGACATCATCAACCCCGAGGATATAGATCCGACAATAGGTCGGTTCAGGAATCTGGTCAAGTCCACTATAGTGCCAAATGCGAACACTCCACCACGCAAGCTGAAATTGCAGAGCGCTGATGACAGTAAGTATATATTTGCACATTTTTTATTTTTAAAAGCAAAGAAATAAAGAGGTAGCAAAGAATGTGAACATAACCGTGGCACTGATGTTGCTCACTGCATATTTTTATCCCGTATATGTCCACAATTATTTCTTAATTTGATTTCTCATATGTTTCATCGATTCGAAAATGAAATAAATTTTTTAAATTTCTCTATTTCACTTGGAAAGTGCATCCTACCCTCATTTCATCTGTTATAAGCCTGAACTTTAAGTTGGCTAGTGTATAACTGCAAGTTGTGACTTGGTTTAGCGTGGAGTAAGGACCTGTTAGCTAAAATTCATATGCGACAGAAACCAAAATAATTAAATAGTTCTGGGCATAGAGCAGCAGACATATATGTGTTATACTAGGTTGTTTGCGTTTGGTTCGATAGACTAAATAAATTTGTTTACATAATATAACACAATATCATGAATATGACAGACTGTGTTAGGGAGTGTAAAAACTAATTAAAATTTAATTTCATAACAAGCATATTTATTTTGCCGATTTTTTTGGCTTATTAATTTAATAAAACTCAAATAATAATTAAATTAAAATAAACCTTTTTAATTTGTTGTTTAATTTGATATTTAATAAATTATTTTCTCTAAAAATTTGAAGACACTCTAGTTCTAAAGTACAACTGTCAAAATGTAATTATTAAATTATTTCATATATTTTACTTGGTTTAGCGTGCACTAAGGACCTATTAACTAAAATTCACATGCGACGGAAGCCGAAATAATTAAATAGTTCTGGGCACAGAGCAGCAGACATATATGTGTTATACTAAGTTGTTTGCGTTTGGTTCGATAGACTAAATAAAGATATGTTTAAAACGTGACTGAACGGCGAGTCTCAAGAGAGAGTATGGCAATTTGGGCTCATTACCACCCTTCATAGTGTGTATATGAAAATTCCGATAGTGATTGTAATGTTTGATTTTATTTGCCAGGTCAACATCATCACTCGCTGAGGTTACAGGAGTTATCTCGAGGAGGTAATCTCTATTCGGATCTGCCGGCACCCAGCTCACATCTCAGTCTCATTGGTGCCAGGTAAACTTATCAATTACATTCGTAATTAAATATAAATAAAATGGTATTGATTAAAAGAAACGGAGAGTTCTTTAAAAAAAAGCAAAATTTAATAAATAACGAATTATTGTAAGTTTTCTATAATATACAGTTATTTTTGTCATTATCCGACTATTAACGACTTATATGTTTTATTGCTAGGTTGGGTTTGTCTTTACCCAATCCCGCGCCAGACGTGGAATTGGAAGGTCCTGAACCTCATCTCAACGTTCATCCACCATTACCCAACTCAGGTAATAACTACTTCCTTGTTTTCATTTTAAGTACTGTAGAAGACTTTAAAAAAAAATATTTTATTACAAAAAAAAAAAATTATAAAAATATGCATTTTATTCTGATTTTAAGTGATAAAATCACATGGTTATCACATGTACATATATCTTATTAAATTTAGAAGTAGAGTTTTTAAATATCACGTGACCTAAAATACGACCCTCCGGTGTGACGTCATTAGACCAGTCGTCGTTACATTATTTTATTTTATAGTAGATCTTTAAATGGAACTGTGATTATGTTATTTATATTTTCTCTATAATAATATAGGGTGTCTATGTGTCTATTTTGTTTACATAATATGACACAATATCATGAATATGACAGACTGTGTTAGGGAGTGTAAAAACTAATTGTAATTTATTTTCATAACAAGCATATTTATATGGCCGATTAATAATACTTAAATATTAATTAATTTAAAATAAACATTTTAAATTTGTTGTTTAATTTGATATTTAATAAATTATTTTCTCTAAAAATTTGAAGACACTCAAGTTCTAAAGTACAACTGTCAAAATGTAATTATTAAATTATTTCATATATTTTGCAGCTCCGGAAGATGCGGGACCATCAAGCGAACCAAAGAGGAAGAAATACGCCAAGGAAGCCTGGCCAGGACGGAAACCAGGTCTGGTACCAGGTGTCTGAACGTAGCCGTGTATCACGTGTTGGACTGCTCCGAAGTTAGCATCATCAACAATTCCATATTTGAATTGTCAGTGGATTTGAAACTAGTGTAAAAACGGACTGTGTTTAAGTGAAGTGGACGTTTACTTTGTAACTGCCTTATTTTAAAAGGATAATGTGGAAATAACCTAGACTTAGAGGAACAGTTGTTTATGTTTTAAGTGTGCATCTTTGAAGTTAAGTTAGATCAAGTCAGTTTATTGAACTAGCATGGAAAGTTGTTTAATCCTGCATTGCAAGACTTCACTTTTCTTGGTGTGACTCACTGTATATCTGAGTCTTCTGGGGGATTGTACCTGGAGTTGAGATGGACTGGGCTCACTCTTGTATTGATAGTACACCGTAGGGGTTTCAGCCAGAGTAATCCTGATAGATGAAGAGTGTAATACATGCAAAAGGAAATTTTATCAAAAATTATGTCACGAGAGACTATTTTGTATTGTGAGTATATATTGTTCGAGACTACAAAGTATGTAAATAATTTCTTAATATTTAAGAAAATGAGTGCATTTGGCAGTTGACTGTTTTAATTCAGGTAATTTTTTTTATAGATTTTCCCATGGATGTCGCTAAATGGCTCATTTATATTGGTAGACAGGGTATGTATCCACATGCATACCCTGTCTCATGTATAATGAGCGGCACCCCACAGTGCTGGCGATTTTTCTGTATTAATTTCAGTCGCTTATCGTCCATGTTCCGCTTGGGCTTTCTGTCGACTGATGTAATTGACGTTAAAATCGAAGTAATTAACAGCTTTATGAAGTCTAAATACAAAATATCGATTTATTTAATTTTTACCTACAATGCCATTTTGTTGTTTCATATGAAACCATGTTAAGAATGCCTGAATACCCATAATACTTTGTTATAGCACAGTCGCCAAAGGGAAAGAATTTCATATGTTGTACTTTATGCCTGCTTATAGATATCTTAAACATTTTAAGATGCTTTCCTATGATTAAATTGGTCAGATGCATCGGTGCGAGCGCAAAGCGTAAAGCTAATACATTATTTGCATACGAGTGAAAGAGAAATACGGGTGTAGGCAGTAAACGAAAATAAATATTTTTTTATTCTGGTAATGTATAATATACTATTACTGACAATCACACTTTTATGCTTATTATATTTATAATAATGCTTAAATTAATTACGAAAAAACTAATATTTTGTACTCGAAAAAACTTTGTACTCGTTGTTCGATCAGCCCTTTTACGTCCCCACTGCAGGGGCCCAGGCCTTCCTTATGGATGGTTAAGGTGGATGGGCCATGACCCTCTACGCTGGCAAATGCAGTCGAGACCAACGGCTTAACGCGCCTTCCAAAGCACGGAGTAGCTCGAGATAATATTTTTTGGTCACCCATCCCGTGACCGACCCTTGCGAAAGTTGCTTAACGACAACGATCGCGGGCCGCGGCGCATATCCACTACGCCACCGAGTACTCGTTACGTGACCATAAACAGCGGGTGACGTCATGCCTCTCTTACTCATATCAGAACTTGGAGAATTAAACCTTAAGCTTACATTGAAAGATATTAGTTGGAGCTGTCAGAAGTTAGTGTTTACGCTGGAAATTTAAAAATTAAATTAAATTTAAGATTGTAACTTATATGTATGATACAAATATATAAAAAAGTCAATACCCCTTTTCTCTCTGTTTTGCGACTGTGCTAGTAGCAATTATTGTGCTATTGTGTACTTTCTCATGAAAATTATAGTACTGGCCGAGCCAGTTAGTAGTATTTAGCTGACTTTGAAATATTAGGAAATAGTTCGATGGAAAGATAAATATTTAGGAATGTTAATTTTTGCATTTCTGCTTTCATGTATTTTAAACTGGGCTAAGTTTGCGTTTTGTGACGTTTATATTCAATATTAAACTAAAATTTTAAAGATTTAAAATTTTAGTATAGAAAGCGGTACAGCATAACTATTGAATTTCCTTACAAATTTAACATACTACTTGAACTCAGCACCCTGAATAATAAGTTTAAGGGTACATACCTATTATTAAAGTAAGATTGTTAGGTGAAATTACATTGTTGGCAATAAAATTGTACATTTTGTAAATGTATTCTAGTGAATTGAATACTGTGAGCTGTGATTGTACAATAAAGTATGATTGCAATATATTCTGTAGTTTGTTTTTTTTAATTTACTTTGATTTGTTATTCGAGTTCCGCTGAATATTCATTCAGCATCTTTTTCTCTATTTGTATTCGGCCGAATATTCGGTATTGGTACCGAATATATTCGGTTCGCATACTTAGATTTTCTTAGCTACACAACACGATATAGAACTTAAAAAGACAAAACTTCTTTTGGAAAATTTATGATTTTTAAACTACATAATGGATTATTATCAATCGTGAAACTGGTAAAAATAGATCACGTGACGATGTATTGGCACTTAATTTCAAAAACGATCTTATTACGAGGGTCAAACTGAAAGTTCTTAGAAAATCAAAAACTGATTACATTAGCCAGTTATTAGTTTTATTATATATTTTCAAAATATTGTCCATTCACGTCAATACACCGCTGCATGCGATGGAACCACTGGGAAAAGCACTTTGCCCACTCGTCCTTAGGGGTCTCTTCAATGGCATCGCGATACGCAGCCACCGCTTCTTCAGCATTCATAAACCGCTTTCCTTTAAGTTTTTCTTTAATTTTTGGAAATAAATAAAAATCACAAGGCGCGAGGTCGGGGCTATACGGCGGGTGACCCAGTAATTCAACGTTTGATGTCGCCAAATAGTCGATCGTTCGCTTGGCGGTGTGCGACGAGGCGTTGTCGTGGTGAAGGAGGATCCTACTGCGAGGTCGTTTCTCTCGAACTTTTTCCAAGACAAGTGGCAAACAATTGGTAGTGTACCATTCTGCAGAAACTGTTTTTTGATCCTCTAACACAATTGTTGCAAAATGACCTATCCTTCCAAAGAACGAGGCCACCATTTTTTTTCCCGCACTTCGATCTCTCTTCACTTTAGTTGGCAACTCCTCGAAAGGAAACACCCACTGAGCAGATTGTCTTTTGGTTTTAGGATCATAACAGTAAATCCAGCTTTCGTCACCTGTTAGTATGTCGAACACAGCATTTGAGTCACCTCCGTTAAATCTTTCAATCATTTTACGACACCAATCCACACGATGGAGTTTTTGAGCCTCAGTCAAATTATGAGGTATCCACCGGGCGCAAAGCTTCCTGACCGCTAAATGTTCGTGGAGGATTTTGTGCACTTGACTCATACCGATGCCTAAGCTTGTCCGAATCTGTTGATAGGTCACTCTTTTGTCAGTCTCTATCATACGCCGCACAACACAGATGTTATCTTCAGTCGTCGCCGTAGAAGGCCGTCCCTCACGTAAATCATCAGTGAGATTAGTGCGACCACGTTTAAACTCATTAAACCAGTTGTAAACAGTCGCACGAGATGGGGCTTCATCGTGAAAGGCCAATCGTAGTCTATCATAACTTTCTTGTTGACTTAAATGACATCGAAAGTCATAAAAAATCATTGCACGAAAATTTTCTCGTGTTAAATTCATGATGACGTGACACAGACAATTTTCAATTTGCCGCCAAATCGTAAAACAAATGACAAATGAATGAAATATATACTCAGTAATATTGGCAAAGAGTTATATTTTCAAATTTTAGAATTATTTTTTTATTATATTGTTTATAAGTGGCCAGTTCTAAGAACTTTCAGTTTGACCCTCGTAAAAGTCCTGAACTGATTGCCTATTTTTTTGATGTTATTTTTATAACATTTTTGATCGAGGCAACTGCCAATTTGAATTCATCGCCGGTAGCAGCAATGGCTAATATGTTTAGGAAATGTGAACCAAAATGTATCGATTAATATATCTATTCATCAGATGTTATTAAAGACTTCAAATCAACAAGTAAATAAATCAGTATATATAATTAATATAATTGCGCCCTAGCTAGATAAGCTGATATTTTCAATTACTGTATTGATGAGAGTATTTTCCCCGATCTTATCAAATTTAGTAAAGTCATTCCTCCTTTTAAAACTGGTAATAAAAAGGATCCTAGTAATTATAGACTCATTTCAATTCTACCGACACTAAGCAAGATTTTTGAAAAACTTATTCTGGAACAATTAATATCCTACTTTAATTCTAACGAACTTTTGTACTTTTTTGTGTTCCCCAAGGTTCTATTAAGGTATTAGATTTGCCAATAAATCATTTTATAAGTTGTCTTAAAAATTGTCTACAACAAAGGATATTACAACGGATATTCACTACAAAGGATATTATACCGTTAAAGAATATCTAAATGACAAAAAGGCATGGTGTTGGATATTTTAACCTAATGTGATTAACATTTTACCCATGTACTAAGTGTCGAGTCCTGCAACCATTGATAGATGTATTAGAACTAGTTTCCTTGATTCAATATCTTAAAAATCTCTACAGTGTTGTCGTATGCGTCGGGTCGTTACGTTCCCTAAAATATGGTTGAGCCACAGAACACAGAAAAGAGATGTCTTTCTGTGTTCTGTGGGTTGAGCAAAGCATGGCTGGCTCATGGGTCATGCTCGTGAACGGGTGCTGCCAGTGGGGATGAGTCCGATCTAATTTCGTTAATTTTTATTTTATTATGAATACTGTATATTGATTAGTCAATGAGTATGTATGACTTGGCAACTGACATATTAATCAGTATTTGGAAATATCTGTCTTTTCATTTTTGATCTTGTAATGGAAAGTGACTTCATAGTCTAATGAAGTCACGTGCCAATAAGACTTTTTTGTGTAAAAAAGCAGCTCTTGCTGCAGCCAGTTTCTTGCCGGTTTTTCTCAGTACAAGATCTCCCGCCGTAGCTTTGCGCAACGTTGGCGTGGTTTTCGACTTTCACAAGTGCTATGTGACAGCTAAGATTGAATGAACGCCAGTAAGTTATAAGTAGGTAAGTTATAAATAACGAAGGTAATCTATCAGACACAAGTTGGCTTTACGACTGTACGAGTAATACGTACCACTTGATAGAAAACAACAAACATGTTTTTTTACCTTTTGATGTATAATTGTACGGAACCTTTCGTGCGCGAGTTCAACTCACACTTCACCGGCCGACGTTTTAAGAGAAGAAAAGTTTTTCGTGGTAAACAGGTAGCGCTGTTATGGTAACTCATTAAATTGGGAATGTCTGAAAATCTCTATTGACTATTATGGGATTAAAGTTTTTAGATTTCATTATTAATATAGAGATTTAACAAAGACTCGTTCACATCAGAAATTAGTTGCCCGCCAGTGTCTTCGCCCTTAATACTTTTTTTGAAAGCCAGCCTAGGTCATGAATTAAAAAATAAAAACAAACAAATTTTAATTGCCTATAACGCGAGTTGTTTGGTCGGTCACGATTGGTTCAAAAGTACTCGATATTCGTCAATTTATAAACGAATATACTGCCTAGCTCACTAATTAGGAACGAGTGGGCAGGAATTGCCGGCGTTATTGGCTCTCAGTGGTCTACCGCTGAACAAACAAACATGTGGTACATCATTAATATAGTTCTCTCTGGTATAAGGTGCCATAATTGGCGGAGTAATTATTATAATGTTAATAAAATAAAACACAATTTGTATTTAATAGAAACAGGCCAAATGCTGTTGTTGTGAATTGTATTAATATATATTTTTTTTGTATAAGACATGTAGGTAAAGAAAGTATTGATCGTAAGTATATTATATACAATCAGCTCCACTTCAGGGAGGCAATGGCGTATCAGTCAATTATATAATCTACCGCAGACACAATAATTATTAGAGACGAAGAGCTCGTGATCAAAAAGTGCAATAGCTTTCTGTAAAAGTGCAATAAATGCAAAAAGTGTAATATTTTAAAATTAGTTAATTAGGCCACTGATATCCGCACTGGGCACTGAGTGATGTTCCTTATTACTTGAGCATACTGAAATATCAAGCATTAGAAAGCTCTTGCACTTTTTTGTTGCGAGCTCTTAAACTATTAGTGCAATATCTAGTTCATAAATCAATGATGACAGATATGTTTGTTATTTTATGATCTATTCACAAGACCTGTGTAGACTAGTAGTCATTGAAGTTCCATTTAGCAGAATTAGGCTGGTTACCACAATTGTATAAAATTATCGCAATTGATTTACAACTAACTACTCTTAATGTAATATATTATGGTTTAAAATTAAGTGAAGAAATTTCACAGATTTAATATAACCCGACATTCTGGGGACTATACACCATACTGATGTCCTCGAGAGTCAATTTAAAATCTTTTGAGGTTCTGAAAAGGTGTGGCAGGAGGGTCCGAACCCTTAGATTTATCTTGATGGTTAAGCTATTGAATTGTCCGTGTAAGGATGGGCAGCTACGTGACTGACTTGCCTTTTCTATTTATCAATACACATATGTAGTACAATCTTGGTCAAAAATACGGTCAATAAGGACAGAATAACACTATAAGTACTAACCCAATAATAAAAAAAAACAGTATTTAAAAGTATTAAAAATACGAGAAAGTTACATTTGAATGTTAGAAATATTTCATTAGAAAATACTTCACAATACATGAAACAATGCGACCGTCGAACTTTAGACATGGGATACGACATTTTAGCGAGTATTATGATGATATTTCGATTCATTTTACTACTTTGATAGGGTTATTGATCGATTTTGGGATAAATGAGTAAATTGGAAACAGGGTTGCTGCTGACGCGGGTTTTTTTATATATCAGTGGATGCTGATGCTGCTAAATCATTTAAATGAAATACCACAAAGCTATAAGCTTATGCGGTATGCCATTGTGGTAAATATATATATTATTTGTTTGTTTATTTGTTTGCTTGCAATGCATAGGTTCCGAGACTACTAGACCGATTTTAAAAATTCTTTCACCTACGAGAAAAGCTATTATTTACACGGTTACTTGACAGTTATATGTCATTAATGGTATGTAACTAATGTGTCAACAATAATTATGTGTTTCTTTTTGTTTTTTAATTAATTGTAAGTGAATTTTATTTTTACAAATTTAACTTGCTATTCAAATCAGTGGATTACAAAAACCGTAAAACTGGCCGCCATAACGGAGCATCATATGACGTCACAT